ACGCTAGTTTTAAAAGATTTTACTTTGCTAAAAATTCAAGCGCTAACAGTTCTTGATCAGTGTACAAGTTAATTTTCTAGTCTTATGATGACCCATAATGAGAATATAAACCGTGAGAAACCGAAATTTGGGACACAAACTACACTGGCTCATTTGAATTGATTAAAGGAGCAAATGACTTTCAAGGCAAATCATATATTTATTGTCTTTCCTTTGTAGTAAGAAAAAAGTAAACGAATATTTAAATCGTTTTGAGTTTGATAATACCATTTAATATAAATAAAGATGTTAGGAGTAAAGAGCTGAACTTCCGAAGACGAATTAAATTCAAGTGTGTTGGGACTTAAAAGCATTTATGCGTATATATGACATAGCATACTTGTATTAAATATCCTCGAGAGGTGAGCTCTGTACAAGCATAAATATTTGCCCTCAGTGGACAAGGATGCCACTAAACGAATAGCCTATAAATGTGTAAACTAATTGCTAAAAATGTGCAATAGTATATCAGCTGTGGTTCATGGTTTATAAAGAAATTTTTTTTATCCATGTTAATATTTATACAGTTGCGTTCAGGTCAGAAAAACTTGCTATTAAGTCTTTGCATCGTATGTAAAGCCCAAATTATAGTTCAAAAATCAAGATAATCAGGTCTTATGAGGCTTAAATCTCTTATTCGCTCTAAGAATAATAAACTAGCCACAAAGAATTTTTAATTAGTTCAATCAAACGATTTAATGCATGAAATAAGTCAATGATTTATAGTAACTCTTTTACACTGTCAATATCTACTTCCATGATTTGAACTGTGCATGGATAAATGACTTCACTGGCTCCGTTGCAATATAAAAATGGGCCCGAGCTAAAAGACCAAAAAGGCAATTCAGACAGCATGACTTTTGAAGGGCGTACCGGTTTTCTGCAGTTAGCAGGCTGGTCAACTCGACGCCAAAAACACGCTGCTTCACACGCTTCAGGTCCGGTAGACAATCATGTGGCACGCGATCCGAACAACGCTTGTGGGCCTGGAAGCCACAATCAGAGCACTTGACTCCCTGTGCCACCAAACCCCAAATGAAGTGAGTACAAAAGTCGCACCAATGTGGTCCACGGAATGTGTGCACTCTGAATGTGTGTGCCTTCTCCGTAACCTGAGACTGTGGCCCAGTCTGTATTGAAGGAATAGATAACGGAACCTGCCAACTGGAGGTAACAGTAACAGGCGTAGCAACGAGTGAAGTGGGCTGGGACAAAGTGGAGGAGACTGATTGAGTTCTATTGATACTGACTGGCAGGATAGAGGGACTAGGGGGCTCATCCGAAGCTAGACAGGCTGTTGGTAAATTGTAGCGCTCCTGCAGCGAGAGCATAGCTAAAGTGGCGCCTGCTCCAAGGCCTCCGTTCTCGTCTAAGCGGAGACTTCTGTCAACGGAATCGCCTTTATCAGGCAATACAGCTGGCTCGTCGCCTATTCTTCTTCCACTAAACTTGCCATCACTCCCTATGCTACCAGAGCTACTGGTAATGCTGTCACTATCCTCGCCGCCATTGAAGGACTCAAGAAGATCCGGCTCAAAAATAATGGCTTGGTCCGCTGGCCCGGCCTCCAAAGAGCAGTTTGAGGAAAGTGTCGAGATAACAGAAGATTTATTATTGTTAATTTGATCTGATGTTGAACTTTTGGCAGCTATGCTCGTGGAAATTACCGTCGTGCGTGAGTCCTCGAGGAAGTTGGGTTCATTTAAAGTGGGATGATAAGATACAAAGTCGTCGGAAAGAGGAGATTTTGAA